TCTAAATAAAAATAGACTTCAGTGGTGTCAAGACCATTCTAAACAAAAATAGACTTCAGTGGTGTCAAGACCATTCTAAACAAAAATAGACTTCAGTGGTGTCAAGACCATTCTAAACAAAAGTAGACTTCAGGACTTCAGTGGTGTCAAGACCATTCTTAACAAAAATAGTCTTCAGTGGTGTCAAGACCATTCCAAACAAAAATAGACTTCAGTGGTGTCAAGACCATTCTAAACAAAAATAGACTTCAGTGGTGTCAAGACCATTCTAAACAAAAATAGACTTCAGTGGTGTCAAGACCATTCTAAACAAAAATAGACTTCAGTGGTGTCAAGACCATTCTTAACAAAAATAGACTTCAGTGGTGTCAAGACCATTCTAAACAAAAATAGACTTCAGTGGTGTCAAGACCATTCTAAACAAAAATAGACTTCAGGTGGTGTCAAGACCATTCTAAACAACATGAGTAAAGCTGACACATGAAACTGAGTATCGTGTTGTAACAAATTATGGGGAAATATTTAATATAAAAAATTGAATTCAAATTTCACAGTTTTTTCCCAGTACAATATACTAGTATTTGTTTAGAGAAAAACTGTCTAAAAGTTTTGGAATGATTTTATAGGAATTTAGATATATGGTGAGAACTTGTTATCATAGGAACCAATGATAAATGATAATTTTCATGGAGTTTGTGTGAAAAATACATGTAGTTTGGTCACCATATATTTTTAAACATTTGTATATGGGATTTGTTAACAATAGTATAAAAATAAAACCATAGTGTAAACGTAAATGAAATCCATCATATGTTTTAGTGGTAACCAACTATGTGCTGCATTACTACCAGTAGTTAGTGATTCAAAATTGCTAGTTAATTATTAATTATTGCTAGTCACTGATTGCTATTTAAATGATTACATATTATTTTAGCTGGTATTATTATTATTATCATTATTATTATTATTATTATTATTATTTAGGCTCACTTTATTGAAGAGTTACCAGATGTTTCAGTTCTTTATAATACTCTGCTGTATCTTAATTTATCATTTAATGATTTAAGGGTAAGTTCATTTGATATATTTCTATTACACTAAACTACCAATGATATTAATATGATGTAGTGTTCATATCCCTGCAAATACATTAATCTCATTTTTGCCCACATCTTGACAATTGGTCACAATTTAGTGCATTCTGTCC